ATATATATATATATATATATACGTGTTTACAAGTCATATCTCAATTTTCATGTTCGCGAAAAACAGGTTTTATGAACACTTTTCAAAAACAGTGAGTTTTTACAAACGAAATTTACTTTTCCAAAATTTCCTTTTCAAACATGTTTATTTCATCATTTAGAAACTTTCCCCAAAGTTTTACTATTTTTGAAATTGATTTGATATTTTTAACGTACTTTCAAAATCAGCCCAAAACCTGTCAATTGCCATGTATCAGTTTACGATCGACCGCCACGGTCGACCGCCAGCAGTTAATCTTCTTACTATGCCTATTAGTTGTTCGCTGTCGACTGTGATGGTCGATCGTGGCTCCATCCAGAGACTTTCACGGTCAACCGCCACGGTCGACCGTCAGCTTTTAAATTTATTTTTCTGTAGTTTTATGCTTCACGGTCGACCGCGACATTTTCACGGTCGACCGCCGAACTCATCATTGCCTTCTCAACGGCTATATTCTGATTTGATTCTCTGAGGCTATATTGGTCATTTTAAGTTGGTTTTGGCTGATATTTTGAGTGGGTATAAATACCCCATTGCTCTTCTCTTTCAACATACCAAGAGTTTGTTTTTACAATAAGTTTTAACAAGAGATTAAGAGTTGTTTAAGAGTTGTTTAAGAGCTATTTAAGCTGATTTCGTTAATCTGTTCCAAAAGAAGTTTTCTACAACAAGAAGAAGCTTTCAACTCCTATTTGGGATCATCATCTACTGTTCTTCTTATTTATTGAGAAGTTTTCTAAACTCTTTCTTATATAGCTTATTGATTCATTTTCATAACTTAGCTATATTTTATTGAGTTACATATTTTCATTCACTGTTATCACACACTGTATTGAGCTTAATATTCCATACTATATATTGTGGGTAGTGGTGTGTGATTTAGTGAGTGTGAGCTTCATTGTGTTCTCATTTATTATCGAGAACAAATCATTGTATTTAATCATTGTTGTGAGTATCACTTGTAATACACTTATACACCGAGAAGAAGTGTGAGGCGTGAGACGGAGTCGAATCCAATAGGAGTGGTGTTGGTTGACGAACCTAGGGAGAGGTTGCATCTGAGCACTTGAGGAGGAGGACACGGGCTAGGTTCTTACACTTAGTGTGTAAAGTATGATTGCATAGTGTTTGTTGTGTGAAAGTTTTCGATAAGCTTGTAAAGCGAGTGTGTAGAAGTTCCAGCTTCCAAACCGGATTGTGATAATGGAGATCTCCTCGAGGTGAGGAGCGGGGACGTAGGTCGTGGTGACCGAACCTCGTAAACATATCGTTTGTTTGTGTTTTGCTTAGAGTACATTTTTATTTGTACTTATTCATATCATTCTTGCTCATATCTATCTCATATCATTCTTGCAAGAACAAATTAATCAATATAATTTTAATTGGAATTTAATCGGGATTAGATTAGCATAAGACCCTAATCACCCCCCCCCTCTAGGGTCTAACAGGCTCTTCTTAAAGAATAATTCCAAGGAAAAATGATTTCTCAGTCAGAACAAAGCCATTGGCTCTTCCTAAAGAATAAGTCCAAGGCAAAACGACTTCTCAGTCGGAACAAAGCCTTTGGCTCTCCCTAAAGAATAAGTCCAAGGCAACAACGACTTCTTAGTCGGAACAAAGCCCTTGGCTCTTCTTCTAAGAATTAAACAAGGCACCACGATTTCCTAGTCGGTTCCAAAGCACTTGGCTCCCCATCAGGAGTAGCTTAAAGTACAAAGACTCCACAAGTCGGCAATCAAATCTATAGTTCCCCACCAAGATAAACCGAAGACAGACCCAGGGTCAACTTCCATAAAAGTTATTTTCCGACCAAACAGGAAAAACAAAGACGTTGCCACTCATCAAAGGCCTCCTGGAAGAACTCGGCCCCTCTGAGTCAGCCCCTCTTTTACAGACCTCCGTTGGTGGAGGAAGGGTCTTCAGATCAGAGGAGGACGAGGAGGACCACCCCATCTTAGGAAACTCTTCTCTGTCCAGAGCTTTGGCCTCCTGAAGATCAAGGCAACACCAAAGATTCTCAAGATCTCCAGCCTCAAGATCACCAAGAGCCATCTGTTCCAACACATTCTCTTGCACCTCAGGCCAACCTGAACAGGACAAAATATTATTGGCGCCAAACACCTAGACGAAGAACCTCCTCCATTCTTCGTCCAGCTCTGGGAAATTGGCATCCAGACGAAAATCGCCCTGACAGTGGAAAAAATAGTGGAGGTCCCCCTCAACAGACCCCACACTAACCATGTGCCCGAGCAGGCTGATGTTGGGCACCACTTCCGCCTCGGAGCAGGCGTCAATAAACGCCATCAAAATATGAATGGCGTGTGGATGAAATTGGCAGGAGGAAACACCCAGAGCTACAAAAACTTCCCTGACAAAGGGATGCAACAGCAGGCGCAGTCCACATTACAGATGTGCCCGATAGAGAGGCACCCGATCCTCGCCGTGCATATGAACCGGAGTCAAGCTGTCCAACACCCCTATGGTCATCGTCACACGAAAAATGTCATACTGATCATGCAACCAGTTTGCCTCGTCCAAAGTCATCCTCAACCTAGATAGAAACAAGATCATGAGTTTCTTCTCGCGGTCATTCTGAGGAAAAGCCATACTAAAATCTCTTAAGAAGTCAAAAGAAGGATCGACGAAGAAAAATGTTCTTGGTAAAGAGTGCTCTTTCAACAACACCAAGAATTATTTATAAGCCTCCAAAGGAGCATGCAGAAGAATTCAAGAGGCGCCCTCCTGGTGAAATTAAGGAAGATCCATTTTGAAAATCGGAAACGAATCGCTCGGGAAGGCTAACAACCACTCGTAACTCGCACCAATCAATTGGTAAGTATGGCGCCTTTCACTCTACCCACGACACCTCGTTTCCTTTTAAAAAAAAGCGGTTCCCAATGCCGACCATCAGTGCATAGAGATTGGCAGTTAGAAAGACCTACGTCACGTCTCCAACCACGATCAACTAGCCTAAAATCCCCAAGATATGGAGCAAACTTGTATCTATTTCACTCGAACCCGACTAAAGTCAACTCCGAATGAAAGGGGCCAACTGTTATGGTAATTCACCATATAGAGTTAGAGATGCCGGAAGAATGTCTGCATAGGTCTAAGAGAGCTATGGTCCAAACCAACTTAGAGGCTCAAAAGCCCAGCTAAGGTCAAGTCTCTCGGCCAGACGAGCAGATAAGTCATCTTTCGACCAAAGGTCATCATGACCGACTCGAAATGCAGGATCAGTCGCCCCCTCGTAATTAAGACGACTCCTCGAGCAGACGACTCAACCATACACTCGACCCAAAGCTCACTCGACTATCAGGTCGGCAAATCATAATGATGGCTCGTAGATCAACCCGCCTCGACTAAAGGGATAAGATCCGACCAAACTCACTTCAGATGTCAATCGACATAACAGTATTGATTAATCCCATCAAGATATCCATTCTGACAAACCTCGTGCTCAAACTGCTTATTCTGCTTATAAGTCACTTCCCAAATATTGCCATGATGCTCTCCTGTGCGCGAGTGACTTCTCCTCCAATCGCCAGCCGCCATCTGGAGAGAGAAAGAAGGCTAAGCAGCCGACCTATTCTATGACCTGCCTCTTCTGACAAATCCAGGGTACTGAGAAGACATTTCTTTCCTGTACCTGAGTGACCTCCCTTCCAATCGCCAGTCAAAGGATGACTCAGCAGCTCTACTGCTCACCTCTCAGCTGCCTCCTATGTATAGTCAAAGTCGAGGGTCAACCTCTCAGAGGCAAGGGACTATAAAAGGAGGAGAAAGGAGGAACGCATGAGGTAAGTTTTTCTGGGAACTTCTTCTTCACAAAAACAAGGAACCTACCTTGGTTGAAAAAGAACTAATAAACTCTAAAAAGAGTACGCTCCAAGGACCTCAATGGCCCAAGGACCTCCCCTCAAACCCCACTCAAGCTCTCAAACTGACTTGACCGTCGGAGGTACCACAGGGAAAACGGTCCCCGCCCTCCCAAGGGTTTCTTCTTGTTTGTGCAGATGGATCGGGAACTCCAGTCCAAGGATCGGGCGTAAAGTCGGAGGAGTCGGCCCCAACATTCCTCCTCTCCATTCTCCTCAGCGCCGCCAGGATTGAAACTGCATCCTATGACATTCCTCCTCTCCATTCTCCTCAGCGCCGCCAAGATTGAAACTGCATCCTATGACGGAGACCCCCCATCGACTGTTTGTTCACGAACATCAACAAAATTGCTAACACTTTAGCAAATAACACTATCAAAAATTTGTAGGAAGGAGAAATTTTGGGGAAATGTGAAATGAGAGTTCTGCTAAATTAATTAGTTGCACCAAAAAATTTAAAAATACAAGTTACAAAAGTGTTCAAAAATTATCAAAAAAAACAACCTTAACAATTTTTTAAAAATTGAACAATAAATCTTATGAAATTTGCGAAAGTAAATCAGGTATAAAGCAAGCCCTGCCACGTACAGACTCTAGTAGAATTGTTGGATCCTTACAAAAAAGGGAACAACAATCTCTAAGCTAGTAGAGATGTATCCACACAAACATAAATCATCTCTTACATTAAAAGCTCTAGTCATTATTGAGTGCTTCTTCCATATGTAACCCTCTGACAGTCTGACTTGAGTGTTGAATCAAATGAATATCATATCCTTTCTTGAGTATAACACAACCCATAAGTTTCTAACCAAGTCATCAATAAAACATTTCTATTAAATATACTTGGATATCAGTTAACAACTGAAGTTCAGTTATAACGGACCACAGTACAGCAACAACATCAAAACTTGAATTAAGTTAGCTCCTAAACTTTCGAGAGTGTTAGCAGGACCACTCCCCCCGCCCCCCGCCGCTCCCACTCGCCGCCCGCACACTGGCGCGGACCTCAAGGCCCCGCCCGCCTCTTCGATCTGCCACGCCGCGCCGCCTCTCCGCCGCCTCCGCCCGGCCCCCGCGCCCCCCACCCACGAAAAAAAAAAACATTGCACCTACGCAAGCTTCTTATATGAGATTTCCTGTTTGTTCGGTTTATATCAATCCCTTTCAGGAGCATCTCCTGCATCCTTTCTAGCACTTAGATTTCCAGTGTATGACCAAACTCTCTCAACATCATCCGAAACAGGTTTTATCAACTTCATATTTTGCCGAAGGCCAATATTTTCTTTGCTCAGTGTAGAGTGTGATCTGCCCGGACTTAAAGTAACCGGGGTTGAAGCACAAAATGTTGGTGTGGCAAAAGGAGAAGCATAGGGGGTGTTTTGAATGGAAAACGGGCTCGGCGAGATTCTTTTTTGAAGAGGAAGTCCTCCAAAACCTCCACCTCGGTTGAATAAAGAGACTGCCTCAGCAGCTACAGATCTCTTCATTGCATCATCTACATAAATTACATCATCGAGCCTGGCCATTATATTGAATGCCAGACTCTCCATCACTCTCGAATAGCTCTCCAGGATGGACTGCCCCACATCCTGTAATTGAAAAATAGTACTGTCAAAAAAGATAGCTCTTTTATCATATGAGACCCAGAAATCTTCATTAACTCTATGTTAGACCCCCAAGTCCTCAATTTCAAAATCAGACCCTCAAAATCTTCATATCTGTTTAAAATGGGGGTCTTATATAAAACAACCTAGTAGATTTGAGGGTCCCATCTAAAACAACTGAATAGATTTAGGGGTCTCATCTGAAACAAATGAATGCATTTGAATTCTCATCTAGAAATATGAAGATTTAGGGATCTAATATAGAATTATCAAAGACTTAGGGATCTAATATAAGTATAACCCAAAGAGAAAGTAATTGGTGAACATTATCCAAGATGATGCATATTGAGGATAAAGACCTTGTTGTACTGAATCTTGTTCATATCAAGAACAGTCTGTGGAAGACCTGGGTACTGGCGTCTTAGGCTCTGCAACAGGCTCCGCGCCCGTTGTGCTAGAAAATGTGTGCTTCCTGCGTAGCTAACAAGACCCTTGACCTTTCCACTCCATGATTTCTTCGCCTTGGAATGGAGTGGATGCCTTTTTTGGTGTTTCATCATCCAAATATGAATAGCTGCTTCAACCCTGTTTGCTATTTCTAGAGTATCATGCTCCGAGGATAAATCTAAGCAGTCAAGGAGACACTCGGGAGAAAACTGATCAGCAGTTATGTAGCGGTAGATTATCTCACCTAAACATGATTTTCCACTCTGTAGAAACAGTTAAAATCAAGGTAAATAAGATGAACTGGGAATTGGGCATAATATAAAAGGTTACATCTAAACATACCCAAACCCTTGCAAAAATCATTTATAACTAAACATGATCATATCACTATCCAGAAAAGCCATTGCAAAATATATTGGTAGTTTACAGTTCACACGTGCCAGACTAGCATGATGTGACATATTCATTGTTTAAAGCGATCTTGAGTTCAACAAGTAACTCAAAGATGTTTACAAGGAGGAATCTTTCCTGATTAGAAGTAATCACATAATAATTGACTGCTGTCACTCAAATTAGCTGGCCAATATAAACAAGGTGACTCATGGCATTTTACCTGCCCAAGTGCAACCTTTAATATATGAATACAAGCACATTGCAGAATCATGCACGCTGATGGACTGAAGAAACTAATGAATCCATGTCCTAAAAACCCTTAAAAAAAAGTCAAGTAATTTCTTTCGGGGTATGATCTTTCTCATAAAAAATAACAAAATAGAGTTTTGACAAGATTGTAGTTATACCATATTTCTTTCAAACCTAATATAAATTTTGAATTGTCCAAAATTCATGACTGAAGCAATCTAAATTTTTTTAAAACCTACTTGTTTCGTTCTATCCGCTATTTTTTTAACTTTTTTTTTTTCATAAGATGTTATTAACAACAATCTAATATTTCTGAACCCAAATGTTTCTACAGTTGAGACATTCAGTCTTGATACCAAAAGTAAAGACCAAAAACCAACATGGACAGATTTCAAAACCAGGGCAAAGTAATCTTCTAGGTCAGAACTTGAAAGGATTCGAATGCACTTCTCTGACAACTAGATGAATTTATCTAGCACAAGCTAAAGAATAAGGGGTAAATGCAAACGCAACACAAGTGCTATACATGCGCCATTTATGTGCTTATGGAATTTTTTGAAATAAAATCCAACAAACTTGTGGAGACAATTGGAGAAATCAAGGCAAAACAATATATATCATTAAACCAACAAAAAGGTCGTATTTACATGTATCATATTGCACGTAAATCACATGACAAAAAAGATGGATTCCAGGTGCTGGACGGAAGATGTTTGAAGAATAAGATGTATTGCTGTATGAATTGTGGAAGGTGTTCAAGAACGTGGCGAAGTGCAAATTTTGTATTATATACAAATCCACACATTTGACAATGAATGCAGCATATATTATGCAAATCACATACAGGGTAGTGGAATGTTTCCCGTTTCAGCACTAAATACAGGCTATTCATTCAGGTTTTTCCTTTTTTATATTAAATTAGACATGTTCAAAGTTAGGAGATAATCCTATATGTTTGATTTTGAGAGTGCACATCTTAAGGAATAAATCATGAAATGGATAAATTTCGCAGAACATAAGCATATCCACAAACAAAATAAACATAAAATTCTTCAATATATGCTAAATTTCAACAAAACAGCAAAACATAGATACATATATTTGCAGCAAGAAGACAAGTGTCGATGTAGATAACTGAAGGTCATGTCTGGTACTCACCGGGATAATAATTCAATAGAAATAACGTGATCCAAATATTAGCGTATAATTAACATTAGCTCATTTGACATGTAATGGAAATGCAAAACAAGACTTAATCTCCATTAAGACGACCCCAAAATATTATTATTTATATAGCTACATTTTTTAAGAGAAATGATATCATGTTTATTTTTGGATTTTATTAAGGGAATTTTTCACAAAACCACATGAGTTTTAGGGCATTGTGCACAAAAGTCCCCTAAAGTTTACAAATTAGAGAAATCCCCCTGAAGGGCCTGAACTTTCAAATTATACAAAACCACCTGAACTATTGCAAATTATCATAAATGGCATTAACGTGATGGGTAACAGGACCGAATTACACTTATTAAAATTGACCAGTTTTAACCTGAAAAACTTAGAAGTAAAAAAAGTTTATAAGGACAATTTTGTCCAAAACATATCGTGTGTGAAGCAAGTAACTTAAAGCAATTGCCATGGTCATGGTATTTTAGTGGCACAAGTTCGGGGGATTACTCTAATTTCTAGAGTTTAGGGGTTTGTGCAAAACACCCCAAAAATTCAGGGGGTTGTAAAATCTACCCTTTTTTACTCAGGCAATATTCAATAATAGAAAATCTAACATCCAACCTGAAGAAATTCAACTAGATATTGAGCTATGTTAGATGGGTATGGGTACGGGACATAGCAAATTTGTAAAATGTAGGGTACAAGTACACGGCTATATAAATATTTGTATACACATATATTACATATTGAAATTAGTAGTTTACATGAGATGAGATCAATATTTTGTTTCGCGTATTATATTTATGTGGACTATAATTTGAAAAAACGCTCATTTATTAAACTAGGCACCCATATGACCATTAAAATCATAGTTTGGAATCCAACTAGTTTCAAGAAGTGGATGTGAAGTGTAGGATTTACGTCTAAGAAAAATTTGATAAGTGTTCTAAATTAAAACATGTATTGTTTAATTGAGTACATGCCGAAATAAATGTATGCACATATGCAAGAAGTGTCCAATGAGTTTTGGTACAGGTACAGACAGGGGTATCTGTTGGATATGGGTATGGCTTCAAGATAGAAGCACCAGGGTAACATAGATATTGAGTCAATTGAACAAAACATAAGCACAAGTATTAAGATCTGAATCATGAAAATCAATTTGCCCCAAATCACACAAGCACCTCGAATCTTTTTCATCTGAACCTCGCCTCAAGAATCTTTTTTGTCTGAACCTCATAATTTCTCAATTCTTATAAACAAGGTCATAGAGCTGTATCACCTCTAATTTCTTAGTTCTTATAATTAAGGCCATAGAGCTGGGCTATACACCACTAGCATTTTAATTAGTTTAATATTGCATAAAGGAGACAGAGAAGTTTCAGTGTTAGTAGAAGATTGAACAATGTACTACTTGATGTACACATGTAACAATGAATATAACATAGAGCTGGTGTGGAATTATTTTGATCACTTTGGCACTTGACATTCACTTTTTCTGTCCAATCAGCATCCCAAGCTAAGTACGACCAAATTTAACTTTCAATCTTCTTTTTGAAACTATTTATTCAAAATTAAATATAAGCATCTTGCTTTTTCCCATATGTACAGGTTTGTCTATATGGGTACATGTGCATACTAAAAGGCAAAACTTCATTGTAGGTCCCTAATGTATTTAGCTAAATTTCATTTGAGCCCTCAACGTTTAAAAGTCATCAACAGAGATCCCTAACGTTTTCTCTGTCATCAAATTTGGTTCTTTTTGAGATTTTCCGTTATCTATCGCTGACGTGGCAATGGTCTGTCTTTTCTCTCTCCTTTACGGCACGTAGCTCGCTACAAGCTTTAAAACTATAAATGACACCCTAAAAGCCTTGAACAGTACAAATATCCCCCAAAAACTTTAAAAGATACAAGTGGTCCGCTAAAAAATTTACAGCCAACCCCTTAAAATTTTTGAAAATTATAAATAGCACCCTAAAAGTTATTTGTAATCTTTAGAACTTTTAGGGGACTATTCGTAAAAGCTTTGAACATTATAAATATCCCCCAAAAACTTTAAAAGATACAAGTGGTCCGCTAAAAATTTTATAACCAACCACCTAAAAGTTTTGAAAATTACAAATAGCACCCTAAAAGTTATTTGCAATCTTTAGAACTTTTAGGGGACTATTTTTGTAAAAGTTTTGACGGTCTATTTGTAAAAATTTAGGTGTCATTTATAGTTTTCAAAACTTCCATGGTTGTTTTGTATATTTTCTAGGAGGATTTTTTTTAATTTTAGGGGGTTATTTATAATTTTCAAAAGTTTTATATATCAGTTTAGATAATTTTTAGGGACACCTGTTTAGAAAATATGTAAACATCCCCTAGACGTTTTAAAAACTATAAATGAAACCTAAATTTTTACGAACAAATCCTCAAAAATTCTACATATAGCCCCCGAAAGTTCTAAAAATTACAAATAGCTTTAATGGTGCTATTTGTAAATTTCAAACTGTTTAGGGGTTTGGTTGTAAATTTTTAGCGGACCACTTGTAGCTTTTGAAGATTTTAGGGGCTATTAATATTTTTCAAAACTTACAGGGTGTTATTTTTAATTTTTAAAATTTATAGGTAGCTACGTGGAAAAAAGGATAGAGAAAAGACGGTCCATTTAGCGGCCATGTCAACAATGGATAACAGGAAATCTCTAAAGGACATAATTAGATGAACGGAGAAGATGTTAGGGATCTCTATTGATAACTTTCCAACATTGAGGACTCAAATGAAATGTGACTAATGCAATAGGGACTGATAGTGAAGTTTAGCTTACTAAAATCCTTCCCTAAGAAGCAAGAAAGTGCCCTATGAATACTTGAAACTAGGTAAGAACAATTTTCTCACAGGTGTTTCACTTCAAAGCTCAAGGTACACTAGTTGCTAAATGTGCAATAAGTAATTATTTGCAACATGAAAATAAAATTATTCCAATGTGCAACAGTGACAGATTTAACTACCACGAAGTTCACTAATTCTTCTGGGTGCATTGAGCTTTCATGAAACGAATATCCTCAAATAACTGTGTACACCAATCCAATATGTTTGCAATAATGTACCGGTTCAATGTATATGGGGAAAATTATGCATGCATGCAGCGACCTCATGTAAAATGATGATATTCTTGAGTAACTAATTTTTACCATTTGAATACAATCGTGTGCGTTTATATCTAATTTGATTGTAATATAAGATCTGCTTGACGCTCCAAGACAGCTACTACCTTTATATCACACAGTAAATGTGCACACAGAAAGTTCAATGGCTTTCATACACTATTTATAAGTCATCAATAAAGCAGAAGGAAAAGTTGAACAAACATGAAGCACTTTTTTTGGAAAATTAAATTAAACTGAAATTGTTAAAGTGGTGAAAGTAAACATAGCTGCACAAGCTTCAATCAATTTCCACAGAATAAAAAATTTCCAGTATACCTTAGGCAAGTTCACCAAATATGCATCAGGAATTTCCATCTCAGCAAGCACCCCACTATTAATCGCCATTGCAGCCTTAAGTATCTGACTTGCACAATCTCGACACTGCTGCAGTTTCTTTCTTGCTTCCTCCGACAATCCATTTGGCGGGACTCGTGGACACGGAAGCCACCACTTTTCTTCTTGCCTCAATGATGGCCTCCCAAATGAAGAAGACGGGTAAGCCCCACTTCCATCCTCATCAGCATCAGCAATCAGAATTCCGCGGTCAACATACCAAAACTCAGTGTCCCTAAAACCATCAAGCATCCCAAGAAGCATTGCATCGAGCTTCTTAAGTGCCGGTAAGTTCATGTGGAGATCAGAGCGAGGATGCGAAACCATCACTTCAAATGTCCCACCTCCAGGAAATTCTTGGATTGACGGGATGAGTTCCACTATTGAATCACTAACACATACCAACCAGTCCATCTCACGAAGCCACATCGCCTTCTTTTGTGGTGCTAAGGGTTCTAACCTCCAAAGCTCCCCAAATACAGTGGCTAAATGAATCGATTTTGTAGAAAAAAATCAGTAGAAGGTAAACTATGAGAGAGGGATAAAAAGCTTGGCGGAACATTCAAGTTTACCAGAGAGATTGGTAATGGCATTTGATATGGCAAGAGCAGTGCAGACTCCCTTTCCTCCACCAGACATATCTTCTCCAAGGAGTAGCTTTGCGAATCGTTCCTTCATCATCTCAACCTCTGAGAGAAGTACAACAACGAATCGATTAAAAGTGAGAACGATAATATCATAACAACAACAATAAAGCTTGTCAACCCAAATTATTGGGATCAGCATTATTCTCAGCCAGCATTGTTAAAAGGCATATCCATTCTCAAATAATTTAAAAGAAAATGCCCTTACGAATTGGATATTTTCTTAGTGTTCTAGAGTCTGCTAGTGTTTTTGGAATGGCAAAAAGAGAAATCTCCATTCCAAAATTAAATAATAGCACATCTCAACTTCAATATATCCACTTCTGATAATGAATCATTGAAGATTTTTAACTCAAATTTCTGGGATCAGTTCTCAGTCAGCAGCAGTATTAAAGGTATTTCCACTCTCATATACAAATTAAAAAGAAAAATGCTCTTAACAATCAGATATTTATACCCTAGACTATACTGTCTTTTTCAGAACAACAAAATAGGGGAAATTCCAATCCAAAAATTGAAGAAAGCACATAGCATTTTCATTATATACAGTCTGAAGAAATGAACTTTTAAAACTACATTTTCCAATTTATACATTTTAGTGATTATTAGAAGTACAAGAAAGTTTTAAAATCCACCAATTTCCTTCAGAATCATGAAAATTTCCTTAATTCCATCTACATTTTCTTCAATTCTTCCATAATCCCCACATCACTAACATACACAAAAATAAACCAAAAAAACCAGAATCAAATGTACGGATTTGATTGAACAAAAGAGCAAAAATATCAGATCCAAAACATAGGTAAACGAATAAAGAGCAAACCGTTAAACTCCGTCTCCCTCTTCTCGATCTTCCCCTCCCAGAAAACAACATCAGCGTCCGCCATCATCGCCATCGCGGCCCTCGCCGTCTTCATCGGAGACGAGGCCATCGAGCTCGACGCCCCACCGCAGCCTCCGCCTCTTCCCCCGCCGGAGAACCTCCGCACTGAGAACTCCGACGAGGTCTCCGACTCACTAACATCAGCACTAGGGCTATAGCTCCCGCACCGATCGGAGGCGTCCTCCGACGTCACGCTCCCCATTTCCGAAATCTATCGAGAATCAAAACCCTAACCCTAAACGTGCATTGTAGAGAAAGGGAAAGTCTTGCTCTTTGTTAGATTTCTAGAGAGAGAAATTTTTACTTTTTTTTTTGTCTGGGTTCTCTCTCTAGACGGGGGTTTGGAGCAGAGCTGATGGAGCTGCAAAAGCAAAAGAGAAGGCGTTTGCAGGTGTCACTGTCTGCCGCTTCTCTCTCTCTCCTTCAGTAGGGTAGGGCCGGTCCTGTGGGTCCCCCACTCCTCTTCTTTTATTTGTGGGGATTCTTTGTTCTATCTTCACCCAGCCTTTTGGTCCTGATGCGTGCCACAAATCATTGAAGGTTATATTTTACCCCAACCCCCTATAAACATTTGGAGTTTTGCACGTAACCCCATTTAACTTAGTGCAAAACCCCATTTGACTTTGTTCATTTTGCTTCAGAACCCCTGAACTTTTCGCCACTTAAATCCCCTAAATTAGCACCACGACATTTGACAAATCAAGTGTAAAGCATTTGACAGAAAATGGCGAATAATGGGTAACGATACTGTAGGGCACATGCAGTGAAAAGTTTGAAGTCCATGGTGTTTAAGTGAGACACCCCCAAAGTTTAGGGGTCGAAGTGGAATAAATAAAGTTTGTGGAGCTGTGCTGATTTCTCAAAATTTCATTATGTCAGGGGGGTTAAGTGAAATTTATCCGTAAAATTGAATAATTTTCATGACCCCGATAAAATATTTCGTCACCTATACACTATAATAATGTCTAGCAATGAAGTTTCTGTAATTCCACTGTTTATGTTTTTATCGTGATTCACGCAAACAGTACGTTGTTTGTGCGGTTTCAATTTCCAAAGGTTAATGTTGAATTAATCAATTTTCAAGCTCTTATAAGACAAATTTGGAGGACTTATCCATTTTTATTGCATGCATATCGTACTATATGCACGATGGAAAACGTAAAGAGTATCGAGTAAAAAAAAATCCTTAATTTAATATTTTGAATTATTTTCTTCATTTAATATAATGAATAAATTCCTTCATTTACGGTGAGTTGTATTGGGAAAATGCAAAGTCAGAAGAATATTAAAAAATAGAAAAGTTATATGTATGAGTGGAATCCCATAATTTAAGCGGTTTAATTGGGAGGATTTGAACAACTGAGTTAGAAACTTTACATATATTTTAATGGGATTTGGATTCTTTCAAACAAAAGTAGTAAAGAAACAACTATTTTTAATCTCAATCATTAATTATCCAGTAGATGATTAAACATATCTAAATTTAATACTTATCAGACTCTAGTGTATTGCACTCATTCACTTCAAAAAAGCTCATAATCACTCACTAGATGATTAATAGTAGAGAATAATTTATCTATATCTATATTATACCACTAATACAACAGTCACTAGGGCAGTCACGTGACATTCTTTTAGCTACTTGCTATCCAGCCAAAACTTTTTGCCATAAACTATTTTTGGCAATAAAATTTTCAGTCTTTTTGTTAACAAACTATCTTATAATTAACTCATGGAGAAAATTATCTTTGGCAAAAAATAACTTCTACTTTATAAATAATCAACAAAATTTCTGACTTTTTTGTGTATCATCCTAAAGAAAATCTCCAAAGGAAAAAATTTTAAAAAAATTAAAAGAGAAAAGATAATAAACTTTTGCTAATTTTTTTTGAAAGTGTTGATATTTGGTGGATTTTCTATGATTATTTTCCTAAAAGTTCTCTAATGTACATGGATGAAGATGAGTTAGTTAGGGTGTATAATCTTTAAAAAATAGTAAAATCTATAACTATCTTTTAGATGTGATTTTCAATGCATATGAGATTTTTATAAGGGTATAGAATATTAGAAAATTGTGATTTCAAAAATAATAATTGTTATGGGTGTTCCCTATTACTTACAAATATGCTATCCCAAGAATAGATCCAGTCGAGCCGGCGTCACTCTCCAAAGACGACTCGAAAGGCAGACTCAGTCGGGCGAAAGATTGCTGCTTAGCAACCGGCCGACACTTCCCCGAAGGCGACTCGGAACATTACTTCCCAGCATTATTTTACCATTAATGGTCATCATTACGACTTCACGTCACCCGCAGATAAGCCTCAACGGCTCCTGATTCCCCACGCCACAGAAGTAACTCCACATTACCCGCTGACAAACCTCAACGACTGTTGATTCCCCATGTCACTGAAGTGACCCGCCATCACTCATCAATCGACACGAATAGGGTAGAGGATGACTCAGCCTCCAGCTCACCCCGCGCCATCATCATGAGCCGCCTCCTCACTAAATACCTGTTCTACCCTTGGCATCCTCTATAAATACAGACGCTATTCATCCTGAAAGGAGGTTCGATCTCTCCCTCACTACCTAAAAAAATTCTCTAGTCACATATTAGAAGGAGATTCTATTCCTCTATTGCTGGACCCAAGTCCACCAGCTGACTTGATCATCGGAGGTACCATGGGGGAAACAAGTCTCGTACTCCCGTGATTCTTGTGTGTGCAGGTGATCCGCCCACCCCGAGCTCTAAGAACTAGGCATAAAGTCAAAGAAGGAAAGCGGCCATCCATCCCTCTCGACGATCCAATCTCTCGACGATCCAGCAACTCTGCAACCCTCATTGACTGTTTGTTCACGAGCATCAACAGTTTGACGCCCACCGTGGGGCTACTTTCCTCTTTTTGAGAAGAAATGTCGAGTTTTGAGTGAGGAGTGGACCGATTTCCTACAATGGGACCTCCAAATTATGTGACTAGGGGTGTGCAACGGTCGGTTCGGTTCGGTTTTTATTAAAATTTGAACAACCAAACCGAACCGCCTATAATTTAAAGCCGAATCAAACTGTTGCAAGTCGGTTCGGTACGGTTCGGTTCGGTTTGTTCGGTTCTAACTTTATCAAACTTCTTATCAAACAACAAACTGTGTTAAAGAAAAAAATATCAACAAAGTAGGAGATTATGAAGCATTAAACACTGATATAATGATATTGTTTTTAACCCATAATGATCCAGAAAATGAGTTTAGAGTTTGAGTCTTTGACTCTTTGGGGACGGGTCGGGTAGGGTTTTAGATCAGAATGAGTAGTATTACACTATATTCGGTCGGTTCGGGTCGGTTCGGGTTGAAAATTTTTCAAACCGACCCGAACCATTCTACTCATAAAACCGATTTTTTCGGGTCGGTTCAGGTCGGTTCGGTCGGTTTTTTCGGTTTGGACCAAACCATGCTTAGCCCTATATGTGACCCATGGTCAATTGGAGCAGACGGTAGACAGACTCTCTTCATCTCTGAAAGAGCAATTTGCCACCCTGACCAATGAACTCCTCTGACGAATCCCGTGGCAGCCACGCGCCATGAACGACCTCCACCACTTGAAGACCGGCGATCGAAAACTCACACCCATGAAGTGTCGCAGGACACACCGCGGCCTCCTCCTAACCACCACGAACAAGCAGAAGATTGCCCCAAGCAACTAAAGAATGACAATAAAAACCCCGGTCCTAGCCATTCGGAGGGACGTGCCAAAGGAAAGGTTCTCAGAAAACCCCACCGCCACGACTCCTCAACTTCGTCAACCACTGCAGGGGCCTCCGGCTACGATCGAGGGTACAAACCAATTTTTGATACCATCGAAGAAAATACTCTGTTATCTGACAAGGTAATGGAATTCCTGTTTGAGAAATTTAAGATGCCTCACCTAGAGACGTACTCAGGCGAGGGAGGAGCCGCAACTATATTGGGTTGTATATGAACTTATTTTGATAAATTTTGTAACTTTCCTGAATTTTCAAATACTAAACTTTTGAAGATAAATTGTTGTTCATATACATATTCGTGTGTGTTTAATTCATGGTTGAATCATGTATATATTGTTGTTTGCAAATAAATTGGCATATATATGAGTTATAATTCATTGTTGAATCATGTATATATTGTTGTTTCCAAATAAATTGACATATATATGAGTTACAGGTAAATATACAAAACCTGCACAGCAGCTGTGCATGCTGGGTGACCTGCAACTTCACGGGAGTTGAAATCCCGTGAAGTTGCAGTCACAATTTGCCAGAGACTCGATTCTCTGGAATTGCTGACTGTAACTCCACGGGAGTTCAACTCCCGTGGAGTTTTAAGCAGAAATTACGCTTCACGGGAGTTGAACTCCCGTGAAGTTTAATTTCTCAATAAACTTCACGGGAGTTGAACTCCCGTGATGTTTCGGAGATTTTTTTACAAAAACCGACCTGTTTTCAGCGCTGGGCTGAAAACAGGTCGGTTTTTGCAATTATTTTGAAAAGGGGTCGGTTTTTGCAATTAAATGTGTAAAAGGGTTGGTTTTGAAAATTTGTCCTACTATATGCACGATGGAAACTGTAAAGAGTCTAGAGTAAAAAAATCCTTAATTTAATATTTTGAATTATTTTCTTCATTTAATATAATGAATAAATTCCTTCATTTACGGTGAGTTGTATTGGGAAAATGCAAAGTCAGAAGAATATTAAAAAATAGAAAAGTTATATGTATGAGTGGAATCCCATAATTTAAGCGGTTTAATTGGGAGGATTTGAACAACTGAGTTAGAAACTTGGGAAAATGTTTCAAGGCCCTAAAATAAAAAAGCGGTTGTGACTAGGCCCTCCATATTATTTTTTCGGTGACAAAGCCCCCAATACATAAAGTACTTGTGTTTCAGCCCTTGTTTACCTTTCCAACACACCACAATGAGAAAAAAAATTCTAAATTCCAAAATTACCATTAACTCATTACCCAAAAACTGCCAGCCCCCCGCCCCTCTCTCTTTCCTCTCTTCTCAGGCTTAAACCTCAGCGAAATTAGGCGAAGGCGGCAACGAGAAGAAGCCGCCACCATCGGTGAACGTGTGAGGAGGAAGCTCCTCTTCTTGCCACTGTCGGTGAACATCTTGCGAGAAGAGTTGGACTTGGATGTGAGGGCGTAGGCTTTGATCAGGGTGATGAAGAG